AAAATTAACATATTTCTGTACTCAATTTAGTATATGCACAGAGTTATGATTTGGTGTTAGGTTTTTATGCCCCAAAATCTAGATTTTTGTGACATCAAATCTTATTAGTGGATAAATCAAAGACTGTCATTTTGAAATAAGCTCATATCAATAAATATCCATTTAAAAGCCTTATTGTAATATGTAACTAGCAAAAAGCCTAATATTTATCAAAATTAATCAAATCAAATGATCAATATTCATGATATGTCATCAGCAATAGCTAATTGATATTTTATTTTGTATTGATATTCATTTTTCTCATATTATACACGATTATATCTCTTTTTTTAAAAAAAGTTTTTATATTAGACATGAAAGTTGAATTAATACAATTTTGTACTAGAGTTTGTTTGTATATTAAATAATAATGATATATACTTCAACATATTGCGTCTCACCATTACCAAAATGTAATTTTGCATACAATTTTCTTTCATTTAACAATGATGTTATTTGAAAAGTGATACTTCCATGATTATTGATTAATGTTCCATCATATATAGGAATGAATGTTAAACAAGACACGCCTGCAGCTGGGTGCATTCGTGGCATTGTGATAAGGCTTATATATAAAGACTTCTCTCGATCAGCATTACGTCAAATGAATATTGACCCATTATTTTGGCGATGCGCTAGTTCCAAGTAGAAATGCTTTGGTATATTTAGGTTATGTCTATATGTTATGAATCATGGTATTATTGATAAAAACGTTCTTAGTCATTAAATCAATCCTAGTATCTAAAGATATAATTTAGATTTTTTTGTTTATTGCTAAAATTAAATACAGTATAACTTTCTTTCATATTGTCGGTACTAACAATACAAGATTGTGTTGAAAAAAACTTAAATATGCATGAAAATTAAATTTAATGTGTAAATATGATAAAAATTTCAACTTTACTAATAACATACATAAGTTTCTGATAGTTTAATATAGTTCATATTGATGTGACTGTAAACTATATCAAAAAAATATTTTTAAATATTGTTATGCAAATAATGGGATTTCTAAGGAAAAAATGATTATATTTGTTATATAAAGCAATCTTTTTAATTATTCACTACGTTTATTACATTTTTTGGCCGACCATTTACGTAATATGCCTCCACCAAGCAGACGCAAACAACAAAGTCGTGAAGCTAACGAAAAATCAATTGAAGCAAGAAAAAACTCCCAAGAAAAGAATGCGCCAAAGGAAGTCGATCCAAAACACTGGACTGCTTCTGTAATTGTTAATGGTGACTCTTATACTCGAGCAAGGAATTTATTTCAAGATAACAATATTAAAGTGCCGAGTGAAAAAGAGTTTTACCGTCATCAAAAAGAAATAGGTAAGGTAATACTAGAATATAAAGAGCAATCTATTAAAAATGCTCAACAAACAATGAAGAAAGATACATTTTTAAGCACTGATTCGCATTATAATGTTGGCAGAAATGCTACAGCGTGCCAAAGTTTAATGATGGACAACCGTGGAAAAGTTGTTGGTGAAACAACTGTTATAAAAAAGAGCTCTGGAGGAGACTTTGAAGGCCCATCCAACATGATGGAAACAGAATGTACAAAGAGGATGATGTCAAATTTTGACTTTACAAATGTTTCCACAGTGGTTCATGACAATGACAATAAAACGAAAGCCATCATCCAGCAATTCTCCGAATGCTAAAATTACACTTGATCCTCGTCATTGTGTACGTGCAGTTGGCAGAGCTTTCGAAAAGCTTGAAAATGGTGGATATAAAGAAGCAGCAGGAAAAGAAACTGTTAATCAACAGAAAGAAAGTGATTCACAGCCAGCATTCCCAATCAAATCTAAAGCAGAAGAGCCGAAGAAACGTGGAAGACCATTAAAACACCAAGAAAAAGTATTTCATCAGATATATTCGAAAGTTATTAAGTGGTTCACTTTTATTATCATGCTTCCAATTGAAACAACGAAAAAAATTTTTCTATGGAAGAATACATTAAATCATTTTATCGGAAGGCATGAAAATTGCCTTCACGAAAAAGACAAAGAATATCCTGTGTTTCAGCCACTTACAAAACCTGATTTAGCGAAGCAATTTCAACGTTTTACAGATGATGCCGCAAAGTTGATTCCAGAAATTGATCCTAATGCTCAAACACAACAAAATGAATCAATACATCACTCAATGCTTACTCAGTGTCCCAAAGGAAACAACGCAAAATCGTTTGAAATGCGTACGGCTGTTACAATTTTACAAAAAAACGAAGGAGAGAAATGCAAACAAGAAATATACAATCGTGTCAATAATTACCAAATATCTCCTTCAATCCGCGAACTCCAAAAACTTGAATATGAGAAAAATAAATCCAGAAATCAAAAGAAAGCTACACCAGAAACAAGAAAAGAGATCAACAAGGCAAGAAATGCAAAAAGATTTCCTAAGGATAACCCTACAGGTGATTACAGAGGAGGAAAGTGGACCCCACAAGATATCTAATTTTCAAATTTGAAATAAACACATATTTTCTTTGTATTTGAAAATATTTTTATATTATAAGATTTTTGAACCTATAAGTAGCATGAAAAAAATTATATAATTTGCTCCTTTTTTATTTTAGTATACAAATATCCCATTTTTATATGTTCGGTATATATATGATGATATTGTAATCAATTATGCTTAATGAAGCTTTATCCCGTGAACCCCTCATATTATTGGAAAATAAATAGCGAAAACATGTAGAGCTGCTATGTTCTCAAGTGTATGCTGATTTTTGGATTATTTCATGAAAACTAATGGCGGGATATCTTGCATTATTTAAAAAAATTGAACTATGCAAAAATAAATAGTATTATATGAGAAAGGGACAGACTAGCCCATTGTCACTTTTTAATTTAGCAAATGAACGCTTATGGAGTGGAGTTTTTGGGTAAATCTGATTTGCTTATAAATGAAATAAAATCAAAAGAAACCATATTGGCATTATATTATGCAAAAATAAATGATGTTACTTAGTACTTTTAAAGTTAATTTCAGAAAAAATTTGACACAATGGTATCCGGCACATACAAGTGGTGTACAACCAAAATATAAGTTGGTTTAAACATATATTGCTATATCTCATGATCTTACTTAGTACTTAAAGTTAATTTTCAGAAAAAATTTGACACAATGGTATCCGGCACATACAAGTGGTGTACAACCAAAATATAAGTTGGTTTAAACATATATTGCTATATCTCATGATCTTACTTAGTACTTTTAAAGTTAATTTCAGAAAAAATTTGACACAATGGTATCCGGCACATACAAGTGGTGTACAACCAAATCTTCGACTCGATGAACTTGTCATCGAGTTATATTCCAGTGTTGTTCCTTCATTTCTGATTAAGTTGCAAATTAAAGGTCTGGATTCAGAGAGAAGTGTTAAAGTTATCAAAAAAGTCACAAGAGATTTCGAAGAAATGACACAATTTAAAAAAGTCGAATGCATCAGTATGCTTGAAGCTGTTCAGAAAGGTCTGAAAAATGATACACTTGATCCCAACATTGTTTACTCAACATTAAAAATATTATTGCAAAGAAAACATTTGATTTAATAAACATTTAATTTATTATAATTAATTTTTTATTACAGTATAGTAAAAAATGCTATAAATAAATTATTATATTTTATTAAAATGTGACTTTTAATAGTAAGTGAATAAAATAAATCAGGAATTGGGAAAGAAATAAGGTTAATTAAAAATAATGAAATTACAAGTTTAAGGTTAATGAAAAGTGACAATGGGCGAGTTTGTCCCCCACTCGTATTATATTTTTTCTCATGAAATGCTATTATGAGACAACCATAAAAAACCATATGTTGTATTTTTATAATTTGATTGATTTTTTTTACTATTTCATTAATCTTTTATGAATAATAATTATTTTTAATATATGTGCTATTAAAATTTCAAATTTTGACTAATATATCTAAGTTATCTGAACGAAACATTTAGAAAATATCATACTTACATTGAAATAGCAAGTAGAGCATATTAATAGCAAGTTTCTTGGCTTTATATCTATCATCTATTGTTGTTTGATCAAACAAAATTCACTCTATTATATGGTGTCAATTAATTAAAACAATTTTTAATAGTTATTTATTTAGTGCGAATAAGTGCAAACTCATAAATGAATAACTTAATAGTAGAAATGAATTATCTGATATAAATCTCACATTTTGTCCATCAGAAATACTTTAATTGCATACGCATAACTATTAGTAATACGTCTGGAGTGTCAATTAATAACAATCCCACAACAAGTAAAATTCAGATTTTTATTAAACATATTTTTTCCTAAAAGTTTTCTCAAATTACTATATATACATATGTGGATAAAATAATAGTAATATTGTAAAAAATTAGATAATTTTTTTTATTTGAGAACCTCTCAAAAGTTCATTCAATTTATCAATTGTTTCAGTTTGATGTATATTCATTTCTGGAGCCTAAAACTTTAGCAATCATGACAATATCATATTCTCTTTCTAACTACGCAATGTAAGGGTATCCTTAAATAGATATTCCTTTGTCTTTTATGCCGCAGTTGTTTTTGTTTTCATATCATACGAATTGCTTTCCTTTATCAGCCCTAGAATAAAATTTGATTCTGATATAAATTCAACAATTAGCCAAACAAATAGATTTAAGCGACCAGATAAGTATGAACTTCTCACAGATAGGCCGCAAGCATCTGAAATCATATTACCATACAATAAACGCCAATATTTAACAAATCCCTTGTATGAACGAACATTTCCATTAATAAAAGAGAACAATGAAAAAGCCCAAGCTATTAAAGAAGCATTTTTGCATGGATGGAATGCATACAAAACTCGTTGTTGGGGTGAAGATGAATATGTTCCCCACAGCGACAGCTGCAGCTCTACTCTCCATGCTGCATTAACAATAGTTGATTCGCTCTCTACTCTTTATCTGATGAATCTGACAGAAGAATACCAAAGAGCACGCGATTATATTCAAAACGATTTTAAACCATCCGGAAGTTGGAGTTTATTCGAATTTCTCATTCGGTTCGTTGGTGGATTTGTTTCTATGTACGAATTATCTCTTGACAAGCTCTATTTAGACAAAGCTGTCGAATGTGCCGACGCCGTCTATCCTCTTATGGAATCAGGCATTTTTGGCGGCGGTGTTAAACTAGGAATCGATCAGAATGGGAAAATTAAAGCATCGTACAGTTCAGGCGGCGGTAGATCTGTTGCTGATTCAAATACTTACCAACTTGAGTTCATTTCTCTTTCAATGCTCACTGGAGATCCCAAGTACATTGACTTAGCAATGAAAACATACAAAAATATGTGGGAACGCTACAAAAACAGAGGATTAATTTCAGATAGTTTCAGCGGAAGCAATCTCCACGTTGGAGGAGGTATAGATTCATACTACGAATATATCATAAAGATATACGTGATGACACGAGGCGTTGCCCGGCCATTCCTCGACAAATATCTACAAATTGTCAAAGATATCAAGGAAAAGATCGTCGTCCACTCAAAGAAGTCGAACTACACTGGCCTCGGCGTGTACTCAGGCGGTTCAGTCAATCCGATGCAGGAGCACCTCGGCACACGCTTGCCGGGAATGATTGCGGTCGGAACTGTAAAAGAGAATCCGCACGCAGCTGAAGACTTGCAGCTCGCGGACGATCTAACAACAGGGTACGCGAAGGCTTACGAGTTCACGCAGACAGGCGTAGGGCCAGAGCGCGTGAGGTTTTCGAACAAAGAAGGGAAAGATTTCGAGATAGAAAATCCAGTTTACATGCTGAGGCCGGAATCATGCGAGAGTGTTTACGTGATGTGGAAATTCACTGGACTTCCAAAATTTAGGATGTACGCTTGGAACATGTTCTCTGGAATAAATAAATACGCAAGGAAGAGCAAGGGATTCGGACATATAAGGGATGTTAACAATGCAAATGACACTCGCTCCTACGGCAACCAGGAAAGTTTCTTCTTCGCAGAGACATTGAAATACCTTTACCTGACATTTGCTGATACTTCACTCATTTCGCCCGCTCAATGGGTGTTCAACACAGAAGGACACCCACTCAGGCACTTCACAGAAGAAGAAGTGCAGAAATGGAAGGACAAACTTAACTTCAAATAAGGATACCCTTACGTGTCAGATTTTTTGCGCATACGAAGAAGTCATGCTAGACATGAGCTATAAACCTGAAATTTTAGCAACATATTTAAAACTTTTTAAACTACAATACACTTTAATATTCAAGAACAAAAATATTCTTTTTTAGAAATTACATAATTATTTTATGTGAAATCTATATAAAAACATATTTTGCGAGCGTAACTTTTTTCTTTATAAGCACCTTATATGACTGATAAACTGTGAAGGCACATAATTGTTAATTCATAGAGTTGATATGTTTCCAAAATTGAGAGGAAATTTGAAAATTGAATACCCTTTCAATTCAATTTTCAAAAGATATCAGCTCCTTCAATAATTGAAGGACGATTTTGATCATTTGCTCTTAAAACAAGTATGCCATGGAGAAAAAAGTTACGCTCGCAAATCTGAAATATAACTATCATATAAAAAAATTAAATTTCTAATTTTTTACTCTATAGATATTATTGGCCACTTGTGTAATGCATAAAAGTTTATGTCATATGCATACATTTGGAAGTATGGGAGACGAGGGAAATTACTTCTATGAGGCACTAGGATTTTTAAAAATTTCTCTATCGGACTCACCATTCAATTTCTCGAAAATTAAAAAAAATCAATAATAGCTAAAATGTATTATGCATAACAAATTTTAATGTTACACGGTATTTTTTGAACTTCATGACATGAATTTTCTTTATATTATTTTTTTTTTGGATTTTCTATGATTTATGCGATAGGCTGGAACAACATTGTAAGTGCAATGATATCATTTATAGAGAAATCTAAAACTTCAGCATTCAGAACTCGCAACCACAAAAATATTCATTTGCTAAGTAAGTAAAGTTGATTAAGTTCGACACTTAGCTTTTATACGTAAAACCAAGTGTGTATTGTTATTTCTTGTTAAATTATTGAGAAAAAAATAAATTGTAAGAGAAACGATACTGATTATTGAAATAATATTGAGGGTAGCTGCAGATTTCTTCATTAACATGCCGGAAATTTGTTAATCTTGGTTTTCTATCATAAAATCTGTCGAAGAATCTAAAAACGGAAATATGAAATAGAGATCATGTAAATCTAGAGTATCCTGTCAGAAAAATAGACTAAGCATGTAACCCTTTTTGGTCAGAAACACTTTTTACCACTTAGTCATACAGATGATCATTAAATTTAAACGAGCACTTTTTGTCAGAATTTATTCTTTCACAAAGACAGAAGATTTTAGTATTATTTAATATTAGTGCTGTAGCAAAATTCAAAAAACGGTGAAAATTCAGTGAATTTGTGAATTCACATTTTTTTTCGACATTTTTCTTGATATATGAGAAAGGGACAGACTAGCCCATTGTCACTTTTTAATTTAGCAAATGAACGCTTATGGAGTGGAGTTTTTGGGTAAATCTGATTTGCTTATAAATGAAATAAAATCAAAAGAAACCATATTGGCATTATATTATGCAAAAATAAATGATGTTACTTAGTACTTTTAAAGTTAATTTCAGAAAAAATTTGACACAATGGTATCCGGCACATACAAGTGGTGTACAACCAAAATATAAGTTGGTTTAAACATATATTGCTATATCTCATGATCTTACTTAGTACTTTTAAAGTTAATTTCAGAAAAAATTTGACACAATGGTATCCGGCACATACAAGTGGTGTACAACCAAATCTTCGACTCGATGAACTTGTCATCGAGTTATATTCCAGTGTTGTTCCTTCATTCTGATTAAGTTGCAAATTAAAGGTCTGGATTCAGAGAGAAGTGTTAAAGTTATCAAAAAAGTCACAAGAGATTTCGAAGAAATGACACAATTTAAAAAAGTCGAATGCATCAGTATGCTTGAAGCTGTTCAGAAAGGTCTGAAAAATGATACACTTGATCCCAACATTGTTTACTCAACATTAAAAATATTATTGCAAAGAAAACATTTGATTTAATAAACATTTAATTTATTATAATTAATTTTTTATTACAGTATAGTAAAAAATGCTATAAATAAATTATTATATTTTATTAAAATGTGACTTTTAATAGTAAGTGAATAAAATAAATCAGGAATTGGGAAAGAAATAAGGTTAATTAAAAATAATGAAATTACAAGTTTAAGGTTAATGAAAAGTGACAATGGGCGAGTTTGTCCCCCACTCCTTGATATATCCATGCACATTAAGAACACAGCTTTGATACGCTTAAAAAAGCATATTTCATATGAAATTGTTAAAGAAATAAACAATTTATATAAAAATTGCACTTATGGGCAGTTTAGATATATAATTTATATATAACATATATACAAATCCATAGACAAAGTGCAATAACTACAATGTTGTAGAAAATTACAGCAGAAATACTGACTTTTTGAAGGATAATAAGAATTCTTCTAAAAATACTGAAAATTAACATATTTCTGTACTCAATTTAGTATATGCACAGAGGTTATGATTTGGTGTTAGGTTTTTATGCCCCAAAATCTAGATTTTTGTGACATCAAATCTTATTAGTGGATAAATCAAAGACTGTCATTTTGAAATAAGCTCATATCAATAAATATCCATTTAAAAGCCTTATTGTAATATGTAACTAGCAAAAAGCCTAATATTTATCAAAATTAATCAAATCAAATGATCAATATTCATGATATGTCATCAGCAATAGCTAATTGATATTTTATTTTGTATTGATATTCATTTTTCTCATATTATACACGATTATATCTCTTTTTTTAAAAAAAGTTTTTATATTAGACATGAAAGTTGAATTAATACAATTTTGTACTAGAGTTTGTTTGTATATTAAATAATAATGATATATACTTCAACATATTGCGTCTCACCATTACCAAAATGTAATTTTGCATACAATTTTCTTTCATTTAACAATGATGTTATTTGAAAAGTGATACTTCCATGATTATTGATTAATGTTCCATCATATATAGGAATGAATGTTAAACAAGACACGCCTGCAGCTGGGTGCATTCGTGGCATTGTGATAAGGCTTATATATAAAGACTTCTCTCGATCAGCATTACGTCAAATGAATATTGACCCATTATTTTGGCGATGCGCTAGTTCCAAGTAGAAATGCTTTGGTATATTTAGGTTATGTCTATATGTTATGAATCATGGTATTATTGATAAAAACGTTCTTAGTCATTAAATCAATCCTAGTATCTAAAGATATAATTTAGATTTTTTTGTTTATTGCTAAAATTAAATACAGTATAACTTTCTTTCATATTGTCGGTACTAACAATACAAGATTGTGTTGAAAAAACTTAAATATGCATGAAAATTAAATTTAATGTGTAAATATGATAAAAATTTCAACTTTACTAATAAATACATAAGTTTCTGATAGTTTAATATAGTTCATATTGATGTGACTGTAAACTATATCAAAAAAATATTTTTAAATATTGTTATGCAAATAATGGGATTTCTAAGGAAAAAATGATTATATTTTTATATAAAGCAATCTTTTTAATTATTCACTACGTTTATTACATTTTTGGCCGACCATTTACGTAATATGCCTCCACCAAGCAGACGCAAACAACAAAGTCGTGAAGCTAACGAAAAATCAATTGAAGCAAGAAAAAACTCCCAAGAAAAGAATGCGCCAAAGGAAGTCGATCCAAAACACTGGACTGCTTCTGTAATTGTTAATGGTGACTCTTATACTCGAGCAAGGAATTTATTTCAAGATAACAATATTAAAGTGCCGAGTGAAAAAGAGTTTTACCGTCATCAAAAAGAAATAGGTAAGGTAATACTAGAATATAAAGAGCAATCTATTAAAAATGCTCAACAAACAATGAAGAAAGATACATTTTTAAGCACTGATTCGCATTATAATGTTGGCAGAAATGCTACAGCGTGCCAAAGTTTAATGATGGACAACCGTGGAAAAGTTGTTGGTGAAACAACTGTTATAAAAAAGAGCTCTGGAGGAGACTTTGAAGGCCCATCCAACATGATGGAAACAGAATGTACAAAGAGGATGATGTCAAATTTTGACTTTACAAATGTTTCCACAGTGGTTCATGACAATGACAATAAAACGAAAGCCATCATCCAGCAATATTCTCCGAATGCTAAAATTACACTTGATCCTCGTCATTGTGTACGTGCAGTTGGCAGAGCTTTCGAAAAGCTTGAAAATGGTGGATATAAAGAAGCAGCAGGAAAAGAAACTGTTAATCAACAGAAAGAAAGTGATTCACAGCCAGCATTCCCAATCAAATCTAAAGCAGAAGAGCCGAAGAAACGTGGAAGACCATTAAAACACCAAGAAAAAGTATTTCATCAGATATATTCGAAAGTTATTAAGTGGTTCACTTTTATTATCATGCTTCCAATTGAAACAACGAAAAAAATTTTTCTATGGAAGAATACATTAAATCATTTTATCGGAAGGCATGAAAATTGCCTTCACGAAAAAGACAAAGAATATCCTGTGTTTCAGCCACTTACAAAACCTGATTTAGCGAAGCAATTTCAACGTTTTACAGATGATGCCGCAAAGTTGATTCCAGAAATTGATCCTAATGCTCAAACACAACAAAATGAATCAATACATCACTCAATGCTTACTCAGTGTCCCAAAGGAAACAACGCAAAATCGTTTGAAATGCGTACGGCTGTTACAATTTTACAAAAAAACGAAGGAGAGAAATGCAAACAAGAAATATACAATCGTGTCAATAATTACCAAATATCTCCTTCAATCCGCGAACTCCAAAAACTTGAATATGAGAAAAATAAATCCAGAAATCAAAAGAAAGCTACACCAGAAACAAGAAAAGAGATCAACAAGGCAAGAAATGCAAAAAGATTTCCTAAGGATAACCCTACAGGTGATTACAGAGGAGGAAAGTGGACCCCACAAGATATCTAATTTTCAAATTTGAAATAAACACATATTTTCTTTGTATTTGAAAATATTTTATATTATAAGATTTTTGAAC